CACACGTCGGGGTTCCCACATGAACTACGAAACGTGAAGTGCAGTGCGCTAATGTCGACTTTTCAATGAAAGAATCAGAATGTTCGACCTCTCAATGGAATAATCAGAGATCTGGCATCTGTGAATGGGTACCAGCACTCACAGGAGGAAGCGGGCAGGCCCTCAAATGCTTCGCGAGCGTCTGGTCAAGAGGAGGTCATGGGTAGTTACAAAAAAGGGAACAGGTCCGTAGTCAGTCAAACCGTCGGCAGTGGGATACGAGGGTCACACGAGGGTTATGTTCTCAACTGCGCCGCGGCCACACCACGACAAACCCATGATCGTCTATCTAGTCACGGTCCAGTCCTCCAGAAATTCAAAGTGACATGTGACTGAATGAAAAGAGGATTAAGCAGCTCAGTTGCGCTCCAGCGGCCGATCATGTTGGAAGCTGGCGACAACGGAAGCGGCTCAACCCCGAGGCCCCACGCACCCCACAGGCTCCCTAGCCCTCACTGACAATATCCGTACACCCGGGTTGACTCTGGCATTTAAGCTTACAGCACGTCGCAGCCTTTGGCTATCCGCTCAACATCTAGCCTAAATGCACATAAAGCATATGGCTAAACGAGCACAGCCATGAATACAGCAGGGTATCAGTAAGGTACGTCTACTGTTCTGCACGTGTTAGAAGCTCTTCAGGGATCGGACTTTCCGTGTCTGGAGCCTGTTGGCTCCTTCTTCACCGTGCAGCTCAACCTGTCAAATCCTGGCAAGCGATGGCCTCATTCGGATCGGATGCTGGAGGCATAGAGATACACAGCTCCCCAGGTGAAGCCAAAGATGCCACCAAAACCTGAATCGAAGATGGTTGCCAACCCAGGCAAGGTGCAATCGTACAGGGCTTGCATATTCTGAAGCAGACCTGGAACATGCAAGCGTGGAGGGCAGGAATGACTTCGATCAACAATGCCCCGAGTGCATAGCTCGCGGTACGGAGTGCGAGCTGGAGCACAAGGATTGCCTGCGCTGCTCTGGTTGCCATTTGATACGGATGCTCGGGCTGCTAGGGTTCATGAGAACAGCTGTTGGATATGAAACTATGAAACTTGGAAATTGTGGCGCCACTTAAAGCACGAACGTGCTGACCGGAAATCCCTCTAAGCTACAAACACCTGCCAATACTTTGCTGAGCCAGCTGCGGCCAACACAGCGGCACTGACCAATCGAACGGCGGACTCTGTCCTGGACCGGGCAGCGAAGGTGCAGAAGTAGCCCAAGCCCTGCCCATTCGCAGACTTGATGTCCAGGCTTTGCATCTGGGATGCCAAAACTTCTCTGCAAACGCCACAAGTCGCTGAACCGCACCTCTTCACAGATATTCCAGATCCTCCCAGATCCTCCCAAACACTTCAAGAGACCCAGTCGCTTTGTGATGCTGCGGTTCTCTCGGATGGCTTGGTCTGGCGCCGGCATCCTGAAATCCAGGCACGCTACAATCGCTACAACATTCTGTATCCATGACGGGTCGGGGGGGTTCAGGAAGAAAAGAAGAAGAGCTTATGCCTGTCCTCGCACGTGTGCGCTTTCTTGGCAGCTCTGTTAACATCGAGTTCCCAGTGTGCCCGTAAACGCAGCCAAGGCATGGACTCCTCAAATGCACCAGATGCCAATGCCATGGCAGCTCGAGCGCCACGCTCTGACAGCTATTGAGTTATTGCACTAACTGAAGATTTGGTTTCTTTTCCGACGCTGAATCTCCTCAGCCATAAAGACAAGGGTCGGGGTGGTTCCGGCGTAGATCTCGGAACAATATCTGAAACATTTTACAGGTCCGCATTGGAACAAAGCAGGCCGGAGTCTGAGACTAACAAGGGCTCAAGAACAGGGGGCCATCTGCGAACTAAAAGGTTCCATGTGAGCTTCTACCCTGTGCAGATTGAGCTGCTGAATCATCGATGGGAATCGATGGCTATGCCCGACTGCAACGCGAGGGTGGGGCGCGGGGGGGGGGGGGGGGGGGGGGGGGGGGGGGGGGGGGCTGCGCTTCATAATAATACCAATCGTAGCAGCAAAGAGACAGAAAGCAAGTAACCATATTATGAAAAATGTTCCACTAGCATCAGTAGTAGAAGCAATAGTTGGTCAAAAAAGTAGCAATACTAAGAGAACAATTGGGTGCAATAGTACTAGCAGCAGCAATTGTGGTAGTTATCGTCGAAGAAGCAGTCGTAGTCATCATCGTCGTAGTAGGAGTGATAGAAAATCATAGAAGGAAAAGTGCGGGACATAGTCTTAGCAATGATGGCAGTACTGGGAGTACTACCAAAAAAGTAATACACTCAAGAAAGCAAACGAGCAATTTGAGCTGGAAGTCCTGAACCCAAAACGAGTGGGCCTAACCCGACGAGTGATGTTACGCTCTAAAAGCCCCAAACATTAAAGGCTGAACCCTAAAAGCACTGATCCCCTAAAAGCGTAAAAACGAGTGATGTTACCCGGCAGAAACGCTAAACATTCAAAGCCCGAAGCCCCAAAAGGAGTTCTGTGACTTAGAAGCCTTAGACCCTGGAAGGACTAGGTCCTTAACCCGAAAAGTGATGTTACACCCCCAGAAGCCAAAGCCCGAAACCCTAGAGGAGTTCTGTTACTTAGAAGCCCTAAACTCTGCAATCACTAGGCCCTAAACCCGAAAAGTGCTGTTAAGCTCAAGAAGCCTCGAAAGGACTAAGCCCCAAACTACACCCAAAAACTGATGTTATGCCCCAGAAGCCCTACATATTCAAAGCCCGAAACCCTGAAAAGAGTTCTGTGACTTGGAAGCCCGAGCTTAGCATCACTTGTCGGGGTTTAGGGCCTAAACCCTAAAATCACTAGGCCCTAAACCCCGACAAGTGATGCTAAGCTCAAGAAGCCCTAAACACGCAAAGCCCAGCCCAAAAAGGAGGTCTGTGACTTAGAAGCCTTGGACCCGAAAAAGACTAGGTCCTCAACCCGAAACGTGATGTTACGCCCCAGAACTCTTACATCGACATATTCAAAACCCGAAACCTCAAGAGGAGTTCTGTGTCTGCACCCTAAAGGCACTCGGCGCTAAACCCGCAGAGTGATGTTAAGCTCAAGAAGCCCTAAATATTCAAAGCCAGAACACAAAAGGGAGCTTTGTGACTTGGAGCCATAGACCCTACAAAGACTGGATCCTAGTTACGCCCATATTCCAAGCCCGAAACCCTAAGAAGAGTCTGTGACGTAGAAGCCCTAAACCCTACAATCACTAGGCCCTAAACCCGAAAGTGATGTGAAGCTCAAGAAGCCCTAAACGTTCAAAGCCCAAAGCCCAAAAAGGAGTTACATATACAAAGCCCGAAACGTTAAGAGGGGTTCTGTGATTTAGAAGCCGTAAACCCTAAAAGCACTAGGCCTTAAACCCGCAAAGTGAAGCTTAAGAAGTCCTAAGCGCTCAAAGGCCCTAGAATCGACTAGGTCCTCAGCCCGACAGTGTTGTTGCGCCCCAGAAGCCCTACATATTCAGATACGAGAAGCCCTAAAGCCCTGAAGGCACTGGCCGTAAACCCGAAGAGTGATGCTCCCAAAACGGAGTTTTGTGACTCAGAGGTAGAAGGACTAGGTCCGAGAACCGAAAAGTGATGTTATGCCCCAGAAGCCCTACATGTTCAAAGCCCAAGGCTGTAAGAGGAGTTCTGTGATTTAGAAGCCTTAAACCCGGGGCTCCAGGGGGTACCCCGCACCTTCACCTAATCGAGAAACCCCAAAAAGAAAGGATGGTTGTAAACAAAATCTCCCGCAAGCTCCAAAGGAGCTGGCTTGCTTGATTACAATCCCCAAAGTATGAAAATACTACCCCTCAACCAAGATCAACCAGGTGGCAGAGCGAAAGGAATGTCGGGAGGTGTGCGACGTCAATCTTACTTTATGTTGGGGGAAGGGGGAAGTCAAGAGTACAGTATCTTCGTTTTAAACACGCTTGAGGTTTCTGGGTTGTTTGGTTCTCGTTCCTTTTCGCAAGATGTCCAAAATAGTGCTGTTTCCTGCTTGCTTTGAGGGCTTACTGTTTCGGGCTCAAGATGGTTTAGGGTTCAGGCGGGTCTCGGATGAAGCACGACATGATGAGAGGGCAGGAAAAAATGACCTTGACATACTCACGATCGGCAAAGGGCCCAAAGACATACCACCCCACTGCAGAAACTCGTATGGAAGGGATTCTGTTCTCCGGCAACTTCACCGGAGCATACCCCTTGAACTCAAGATCAGGCACTGCACTGAAAGGCTCCAAAGTGACACATCGTACCCTTCCCAGCACTGCACAAAAGTGCACATCTGCACATTTCAAACTCAACCAGCAGTTGCATGCAACCTGAAACATGCACCGCAACTGCCGTTCGAGCTGCCTCATCGGCTCAACCTGGCACATCAAGAGCACAGCTTCATGGCTTTCGAACCCCACTTGGAGGCAGCAAGAGCACAGCTTGCAGTTGGTGAGCTTGCCAAGTTTCAAGACTGCTCATGCTCCAACATGCTTCAACCTTTTCTTTCAAGCTCGAATTCTCGAATTCCCCCTAAGTCTTCGCATAGGAAATTTCGAAGGGACTTGGGTCAAATGCAAGACTCGTGAGACATTCAGCCCAAAATATTGTTACATCCGGGTAGCAATTCAAGTCTGCAAACCCGTGATTCCAACAAGGACGACAGCAACTAAGGCTGTCTGGGGCATACTGTACGAGATTTCTGACAGCTCAGTCGTAGTCGTGGTGGGAGCGTTGACCGTGTCGTTGATCGCGGTGGTCATGTGGTGGATCGTGGTGCTGGTGCTGGTGATGGTGGTGGTGGGGGTCGCGGTGGCGGTGGGGGCGGTGGAGGTGGAGGTGGCGGTGACAGTGGTGGTGGCTGTGGCGGTGGCGGTGGTGGTGGCTGTGGCGGTGAGCAAGCTGACTGCTGTCACCATGTCACTGTAGTATACGGACACATAGGCGTAGCTTCCGGCAATCGCGATGTCCCAGGGACCATATAACCGCGTGCCACTGTAGATGAAATCAGCAAGGGTGAGGTTACTCGGATTGGTGATGTCGATCACCGCCACACCTGAACCCTCGTAGGCAGTTACATAAGCATAGTCCCCAGAAACAGCCACAAAAGTGGGCTCATTCAGCCTGGTATCATCCTCGATGGCCCCGGCGACTGTAAGGTTGCTTGGGTCAGCGATGTTAAGCACTGTGAGGCGATTCACGTCATACGCGCACACATATGCGAAGTCCCCGCTGATCTCAATGCCATGGGCTCCTCCAAGTAAAGTTGGGTCTAGGATAGAGCCTGCGATGGTGAGGTTCGTCGGGTCGCTGATATCAAGAACGAAAATGCCATGAGAAGAATATGCCGTCACATAGGCAAAATTGCCTGCAACGTGAATCTGGTAGCTACCTAGGGTTAATAAAGAATCCTGAATGGAGCTTGCGATGGTAAGGTTGGTTGGGTCGGCAATGTTGACTGCAGTCACACCTTGGTATCTGTATGCAGCGACAAAGGCATAATTCCCAGCGATCGCAACCCCCTCCGCATGCTCCAGGAGCGTGTCGTCTGTGATGGAGCCCGCGATGATGGGGCTGCTTGGGTCGGTGACGTTGACTACGACAAGACTATTGCCGGCAGTAATGTAGACAAACTCCCCGACGATCGCAAGATAGCCCGCGTTGCTCATGCGGCTGTCCGTGATGTCGCCTGCAATGGTAAGGTTGGTTGGGTCGGTGATGTCGATAACTATCAATCCACCGTATGTGTATCCACCAACATAAGCATAGTTACCAGCAACGGTGATTCCGTAAATGCTGCTCAGTTTGGTGCCATCCTGAATGTGGCCTACAACGCTTCTCTGGGCAGAGGCATGGCTGAACGTCATTGCAAACAGCAGAGCTGAAGGCAACGTCACACTCCGCATGATGACTACCACGGTCTGTATGACCACCAGGCTATGGCGAGAACAGTGCTGTCACAGCCAAATGTTTGAAGAACGCTCGCACTCACAAGCAACCACGCGGGCATCCACAAAACAGCCCAGAGTCAGTTGATGCAAGTGCAAGCAGAACCTGACTTGAATACTGCGTGCAACCTCAACCGCCTTAACCCTAAAGACTGTGAAGGCCGCACGGGATTGACGTCCATCAACCATGGCCTGGCCGACCGGTGGCTTCGGGTTCGGGTTTATGGGGGCTTTGTTGGATTCTCGAGCTCTCCAGGCAGCTCGCTAAACTGACCGTTTCTACCTGGACCACCGAAACCACTCCTTCGCCTTGCCATGCATAATGAAACATTCAAGAGAAAGGCTGATGGCAATCTCATTCTACGGTGTCAAGGACACGTTCCGTCCAAGACAAAAGCCCAAAGCCCAAAGTCAAAAGCCCAAAAGCCCTCCACCCGGCAGTCCTTCGCGTGCAGCCGAACGCGCCCCTAGGGCCACAAAGCCTGTCTTTGCACGCCCCGGTGAATACTATCATATGGCGACGTTGTGAGGAGCAGAAAGCAAGAGGCTGGGATTTCCTGCTTCATCCTCGCATCCAACTCGCAGCTGCGGCTTGTTCACGGGCGGACGCAATGTTTTGCTGCGAACCCTTGTGCTGCATGGCGGCCAACAAGGTCACAGTCTCCACGCAATTGTCTACGATGTCCTACACAACGAGACTTTCAAGTCTCGATCTCAGCCAGGATTCTGCACCGGTCAGAAACCTCAGGCGTCATCACGCCATATTCTGCCGCACCAACTTTCAAGCATCAGCTCACATGCAGCTCGCAAGGCGACGTCATGCTATCTTGCTAGCAGCGGAGCTGCACGCAAAGCCATGCAGAGATTTGCAGTCACCTACATGCTGCTACAAGATTCCGATGCCACGCTATGTCTAATGTCTTCTGTCATGCCATGAGGCCCCCGCCAAGCGAGATCCAGGAAATAGCACAGTGCCCGAGAACTCCTCGTCGTCAGGATTCTCGGGTGGTTTCGAGGCGACTGCGACAGACGATGGTTGCATTGGGCTCACAGGGTGATACTGTCCTCGGTCCACTCTTCACCAAACATTCTGCTGAAGACCTTCAAGGCCTGCCCGGCTCAACGCTGGGGTTCATTTGGTTTAGAGGCAAACAACATGTATCACATTTATCACATTGCATCACACTTCTGTGTTTTGGCGAGGGGTCATAGGTAACTGTCTCAAGCCGATGCACGTTGCAATTGACAATTTCTAGAGGGCACGTTCCAACAAGCTTGGGGGCTGGAAGCGGGTGGTTTGGTTTGTTGGGGCATGTGGAAAGCAGCCTTGTCGCCGTGCGCTTTTGGGGGCAGCACATCCCCCATTTGCCAAGAGAATGCTCCGAACATGCACTTCAGGCAAGCATGTACAGCTTCGAAGAAAGCTGCGCAGCCCCCACCCTTTCGCAAAGAGGCTGATTCGAGAATGCTTTTTTGAGGAGAGCATGTCCAACCCAGCTGCGCCCAGATGAATGGCTGGCTGGGCCCCCAACCCGCGGTTTTACAAAAGTCGCACGGGCCAAATGGGTGGGGCCACATCCTTTTGTTTCGGATTTAAGGTGGCAGGCCAGTCCAGCTGGCACGTGCGGCTCCAAAGAAAGCGATGTTGCGCGGGGTGGAAGGGGGGCTGGTGGCCCGTTTGAGATAGCGATAGAAGAAACTCATGGAACGAAATGTCATAGCCGTCATAGCCATCATAGAAGCCATGGATCCCGTAGAAGCCATGGCAGTCACCGATGGACGTGTCCATGGCAATCATACGAACCATAGAATGGAAACCATGACAACCCCAGAAACCATCTAGAGAGGAGAGAAGCTCAGTAGAAAGCATTGAGACCCAAAAACACCACAAACCATGTGGAAACCACATAGAAACCATATTATGAAAACCACATGGAAACCACATAGACACCGTAGAGCCCGTGGAAACCATCCAGCCCATGAACCATTCAGAAACTAATCATCGAAAACCACACAGAAGCCGGCCGCAAGGACTCAAAATTGGGAAAACACAAGATCCCTTTCCCCTGAACAGTCAGCATGATGCTGGCGTATGCTGGCGCACCGGGTCTCGTTGCGCATGCCAGGCGTCGTACGCATTCTGCCTTTCCTGGTGAAACAGTCTTTGGGTCTTGAGGATTGATACTTACACTAACTTAAAACGTATGCAGGAAGGTTTGCAATGTCCCATCATGTCCTCGGTTTGACAAGAGACTCTTCAGGGCAACTGATTGCTGCCTACGAACACGTACGACAGGCTCAATAAGTCGAAGAAGTCTTCAGCCTGCGCTTGCCGAGAGCAGGCTTCGTCCACCAAGGGGCATCTGGACAACATCTTGTGGTACCTGAAGTGCTCATTGCTGCCCGACCCTAATTCCAACGGCATGCTGGCCAGGCAAGCCCGTCCATTTCTTGCACGGGTGCAACGCTGCTAGATGCACGCATGCTGATGCAACACTACCTTGAAAAAGTCAAACCTGCAGCACGTGATACAGAATATCAATGCATGTGATGGACTCTGGCCAATGTCCGCCTGCAAATCTTGTCAACACCATTAAACACCTTTCAACACCCGACAAAACCTCAACCTTGCAAACCTTAAAAACTGGCTTGACATCCGACCAGGGTCCAGAAGCCCTCTTCAACATGTGGCTCTTTAAAAGAAAGGTCGGACCGAAAACGCTTGCGGTGGATGCATTGTAGGTGCTCTCATGGCTCGCTGCCGACCTTGTGAATTCCCACCAGATGCCCGTGCAAAAGAGGTCTTAGCCTCCCCAGATCATGTTTTTTCAGTAACTTCCACCTCGGCATTTACCAAAGCAGATAAACTTGTCAACCCCAACTCAGATCCTGTTGGGAGAACCTCAGCACAGGATTTGGGCTCAGTGTTGGGGAGATTTTTGACTTGCCTTCGTTCCAGATGCATGGCTGCCAGGCCAAAAGAAACAAAGGGCCGACCACAGCTACAAGCTTTACTGCTCCGAGAAAAATCAAGCCCGTGTCCCGCTAGGATGGCCCTGCCCTCATGGGCTTCAGGCATTCTCCTTCCCGTCATCAGGCTCGTTCGGGTTGCTCTGTATGCTGCGAAGGCTTTCCGACGGCCTCGACGTGCAAAGGAGGAGATAAAGGTAGTCTGATGCCAGTGTGTCCAATGAAGCTAGCTTTCGAGATGATTCCATATTGTATCGCAGTCTCGCCCTCGCAGCGCTTGCTGTCTCATGTGAGGTTGTTTTCGAATGTGCTTTTGCAGCAGGTACGATGTCCAGGGGGCAACGGCCAGAGACACAGAGAGAGGGAGACTACGGCGTTGAAGTTTAGGGGGGATGAGCACTGTTCAGTTTACCTGGTTCAGAAGTTCATAGGGCCTTTCGAGTCGAAACAGTCAAGAAGATGCCAATCCAGATCGATCACGCCATGTTGGTGGTTTTGACTTTTACCTCAGGGCCCAGCACGGGCAACGGCGCAGTCTCTTGGGAGGCCGCAAAAAAAGCCAGGGCCTGCAGAGCAAATCTCAAAGCGGCGAGGTTAGGTTCCCGTTTGAAAGTTTAGATGGGATCCCTCTCGCCAGCGTATGCCGTGCAAGGCAAAAGGGTTCACTAAACACTCATTGATGTTTTGCCGCTTTCAGGTTTCGCTCGCACAGGCATGCCCGGGATCGCTTTTTAGGTCTTAGCTTCGGCTCTATCCGCCCCTGACGTTCTCTCCTCCTCAGCTGTCTCCGCCACTTGATGGTCGCTGTGTCGGCGCAGCGCCACGCGGCGCAAAGACATGGCCTCGGCGGCTCCCCCTAGGTGCCACAACTGCGCAGCTAGTCACCACTCAGCGCCTTGACGTTAAAATCGACACAACGTATTCTGGAGTCTGGAACTACCTTTTCGATCACTTACTTGGCCGAGAGAAGTATCGAGGCAACAATGGTGTCCTGGGTGCAATAAGCCCGAAATCAATACTGGGAGTTGCATGACACTGTGGGCTACGAGAGTAGGTCCTTGGGCACGCATCTGCCGCACAATACTTCAAAACCGACACATCCCATCCCTAAAGCCTAAACCTGCGAGACCGTGGGCCTTCGCCTTCGGCGAGACCACAGGGGCTCGAAAGCGCTTCATCGCAACGGCTGCTTTACCAGCTGTCGATACCGTCACGGGAGGTCCCTCCTGTGTTCAATTGTGTTCATGCAAGGCCTACAGTGTGGCCTACAGGACCTGCGGGCCTGTACTAGGATGGTTCGGAGGTTGAGCGCCAGCTTGTGCGGCTTTCGGAAAACGCATACTTTGTACCCCTGACCTTTGTCTTACCGACTCAGTCAGCTGGTTTCCACTGGCGATGAAATCACAAGAAAGTCCTCACTGACAGTTGGCCAATGCCATCGACCCACTCATGAGACCAGAACTCCAAAATCTCAAAAGCTCAGCGCTTCCGCTTGCCTGTTCGGGGGCGTGGGGTTCAGCCCTGTCCTTGTTGGGAGATGTCTCAGGCTCCTGTCATGCAGTGCATTCAAGGGTACAACCCAGATTTCAGGATACCTTTCCCATCAAACAGTGCCTCCTCGCCAAATTCGAGCACTTCCTGCAGGGACGGCAGCAAAGGCATCAGGAAGCCCTCATTAACCGCAACCTTAGTCAAAGCCCCTTAACACACCCACCAACTATAAAGGTGCGGCCGCAAAGGTTGCCATCTTTTGTTGAAAACCACCTAGGTTTTAAGTGCATCAAGAGTGAAAATTGGGTTTGTGGGGAGGCCGCAACACAAGTCCGTTCTTTTGAGACGGCTTCGTGGCGTCGAGCTAGTTGTTCCGTATATGGTTGTTTCGGGCAATCGCACGTGCATTCTGCGTCTTGCAAATCCAATTTGCAAGGCACAAAGGTAGAACGTCCCACGAAACAGCTCCGCCCAAAATTGTGCCTTAGAAACGGTGACAATATTTTTCAGTTTTTTCGACTACATTATTTGTGGCCGCGGCCTTCTATGTTGTGTTGCGCATGTTCGCAGACGGCATCAACACTTGTGACGGTACGTCTGGTTGCAGAAACATCAAACATGCTTCCCCAATTTGGTTTGTAAATGTTTAGAAAAACAAAACAAAAAAACAAAGCGAAGCGAGGCCAGCGGTGGAGTCATCGGTTCACGAAAGCAACGGGGCAGAGTCCAGCCACTACGCCGGCGGATGTATGATTGTGCACAAAGACGAACAAGATGTCACCAACCCCCCCCCTCCCCCCCCCCCGCCCCGCAAAACGTAGGGCAACTGGCGCGCACGCCACCAACAATAAGTAACAGATCTTGCCATCCCGAAACAAAGCCCTGAACCGCAAAATCGGCATATCCAAAAAACACACGAAAATCGTAACCCTAACCCAGTACTGCAAAGTAAAACGCTGAACGACCCTGCACCCTGAACTCTGCACAAAAGCATAAGTCGGGTGCGCTGCTCTATGGCACTCTGCTAGTGCTGCATGCGAGTGCCCTATGACAGCAAGCTCATCGAATACGAAACAACAACGACGTTGATCATGATTATGAACATATGACGATCATGATCATGACGGTGGTGATGATGAAAGATGTACTAACATTCGGAAAGTCGAGTGCTGCTTTCATTAGCTCAAGCCAAGCAAGCCAACCCCAAAGAGCAGGGCAGCGAAGAATGCTTTAACGGCATGATGTTAAGAATCTGAGCGCCGCCTGCTCCTGGCTTTCAAGGTTTTTCGAGGCCTGGCGAGCGGATCTCCCTTTAAAGCTCCCCCAACAGCCTTGAACCTCCTGAGAGCCCAGCCATGCTAAATGACGACATATGACGACGCATCAAACACGAAAGAAGCTCGAGCCTCGGCCTCTTCCCTTTCCAGCCGGAGCTTCTCTTTCAGGATCGCCTTCCCCACACTTCCCGAAAGCCTCCGAAACCCCTTCGGCGAACCCCTCTATGCACTGAGTCACTATGACAACTAGGCAGTACTAAACCTTTGGGGTGGAGAGAAAGAGGGAAGTGGCGGGATCTGAGCTGTCGGCCCTAGGCCCTTCGGGTCTTCGGGCTTTGAGGTGTGACAAGGGAGCTCCAGGAGCATGTGGACTTGTGGACTCCGACCATGAGGTGGCAAGAACGCAAAGGGCCCAACAAGCACGAAGAGATGCCAGGGCGAGGCACACGGTCGACATCTGCCAGTGTGTCCATGAGCTCTCGGAACGGCACGTTGATCACCTGACGGAGAGATTTCAAACATCCAGCTGATGACCTGAAGGACATGCTTCTGCTGCCAATACTATGACGGTTGACAGATTCCCGGGGCAAGTGGCCTCAACAAGGCAAAGGCTTCACACATGCAAAAGTTTACTGGCAGAAGCGGTCAGAGCCAATCATGCAGTTCGCGCTGGGAAATCAAATTTGTCCTTGCCTCAGAGCCCAAGCTCAACCCAGAAACCTGAAAGCATTGGCTTTTTGAGACATCCGTTCCAGCGCGTTGCAGCGCTTGCAACAAGATTCCTGGAAAATCAGGGTGGCAAACCTCAAACTGCCTTGAACCCTCTTCTCTCGCACAGGGCCTGGAGAAGCTCCGCATACGAGGCCTTGCACCAAGCAAGGCTTGACCATCTTGAACCTGAGACCTGTAGCCCTCACCGCAAGAGACATGATTCCTCCAAAGGTTTTCTGGATCTCCTTTTAGAGGCACCTTGAACTCCTCCCAGTCAATGAAGCCGCTCTCGTCTTTGTCGATCTCCTCGAACCTAAGACCCGAACCGTCAATTCCTTCAATTCCATGAGCTTCCATCCAACCCGCAAAGCTTTTCGAATGGCCCAACTCTGCTAAGCATTTCAAGGAGTCACGAAGAACCTGCCAAGCAAGAGGGTCCAAGGTGTGACACTGCTCATTGCTGCTCCGACCCCTCTCCGAGAGAACCCCTTACAAAGGTAAGAGCGGGGCATCTTCGAAATGGACTGCTCGCTACGATTCTCGAAGAACTCTGCCAGGAGAGTCATGCTGTCAGCCCATTCCTGTGCTTCGTTATGTCACAGCCGTGAGCTTTAGACTGTCGAGCTGCTCTTGGTCAGGCTCTTTGAGCCTGGCTAAGGCCCTTGGCTCGTCACCATTCATCCATTGCTTCGAGCAACCCTATCGCGACCCTCAAAAACATCTCCACACATCTCCACCCTTGGTGGCTAAAGCGAACTAACCGAACTGCATGCCGCCAGCCTCTGGGTGGATCATCCCGTCCTGGTGCAGGAGTTCCAAGGTTTGCGGCAACTGCTGGGTTTCCGAACTTCTGCCGAGCGGTGGATGTTGATAATGTAGGGCAAGGGCTCGGACGTTCCCCTCGGAACACAAGGGCCAGTAATATGCATCCTCAT